AACACTTCTTAAATTAATTTAAAAAACTTAAAAAAGTTAATGATGATTTCTTTAATTTAAAGATTTTAAATTTAAGTGATATGATACGATGAGTGCAGTGTTTTAATAAATAAAAGAATATTACTCCTCACTATACAATATAAAATTTTTTTAAAAAAGTTAACTAAAAAATTGTAACTTTTTTTTAAGGATTCAAGTTAAAGATATTTTTTTACATTAATTATTATTAAAAAATAAAAATTAATATTTATTTTATGATTTATTTAATTAAAATAATTTAAATAAAAAAAATAAAATTAATATTAATTTTTTATTATTTTTAATATAAATTAATAAAAAATTATTAATTATACTCTTAAATTATAAACCAAAAAATTCAAAAACTAAATTTGAATAAAAAATTGAAGCGGACCATCATGTGTCCGTTTTTTCCATTAAATATCCTATGCATTTGTCCCACAGTACGAGGCACATGCTCCAACATAAAACGCAGTTGAGGGTGAAACTCTTGCCCCTTATTTTTTTTAGTCATATAACGAGGAATAATTACTTTTACTATTTTATTTTATTTTATATATATTATGTGATTTAAATGATAAACTTTTTACATTTAAGCTTTTGAATCTAATGAGTTAAGTTACGTTTAAGTATAATTTTTTTTTTATAACAGTTTGAATATAGTCTCTTATAAAATTGTTTTAAAAAAATAATAATAAATGTTAAATTTTTTAATTGTAATAATAAATTTTGATTAAAATCATTTAGGTAGTTGACACTATAGTATCTTTTTTAACATCTTCATATCTCTTCTTCAATTACTAATTACCTTAAAAAATACTACTGTACAGTATTTCAGTAATAAGCGAAACTTTATAATGTTCAAGGAAAAAAAAAAAAACCACTTACGGTAGTAAGTGGAAGGAAAATGACTTTGGCACGTGTCAATTTTTATCTGAATTATTTTAATTTTTAATAATTAATACTGTATAAAGATTGAAAAATTAAAAATTAAGGCATTCTAATTAATTGTTATCTTGTATTTTAATTTATAAGATATTTTTATTATTTTTTTAATTTTATAAATATTTTATCTTTATTTCAAAATGAAATTTTTTAACATATATTTTAAAAATATATTTATTGTACCTTTTAATTATAATTTGTATGAAAAAATAAAAATTGACTTAAATTTTATTAACGGTTTAATTTAATTATTTCACATAATATTAGTGTTAAAGGTAAATTTTATTTTTGTAATTTTTTTGTATAAATTAATAATAAAAACTAGAATAAAATACTATTAACTTGTATTTTTAAAGTATATATTAAAAAAATCTTTACAAAATAATTAAATTTTTTACAGGCGAAATTAAGTAATTCAAGGGAGGGTTTGTTGATGCAGGTTTCTTTAAATGGTTGACGCCTAAAAGTGCCAGCTTTGGCAAAATCTGATGCTCATATACATAGGATAAAAGAAGAAAGAAAGAAAGAAAGGTACTGCAGTCCTTTTTTTCTCCCTTTGAGGCATTAAGCCTTTGTTTGATTGCGAAAGTTGGAGGGAAAGGAAAGGAAAGAGACCTAACTCATTTTTATGTATGGATAATTATTACTTGTAATGGAAGGAGAAGGATCGAAGATGGAATCCCGCACTTCTTTAATTTCAATTCCTCCAAATAAGAGGAGTTAAGAAGAATTGTTTTATACATTTATTTATTTAATTTTTT